GGACCTTCTTTGCCACTGTGGCCCACACCACAACATCTGGCCTTATTGTTGTCTGAGTGATCTCTGTTGGGAAGATATGCTGGGTGCCCAGGTCAACACGCATCTTCCATCCCTTTCCAGGAGTGAGCAGACATGTTGTCCTTCCCGCCACTGTCTTCTGCCCGCCTTCTCCTGGTCTGAGGAACGGGATATTTGGCCGAACGGGATCTGAAGAGCTATTTGCCCGGACTCTACATCTTTCCAACTGCTCCGCCAACTTCCTCAGCACCTGATTATGCCGCCATCTAAAGCGGCCCTGTATCAATGCAACATTACACCCAGAGAAGATATGTTGAAGGCCTGCATTGGCTTCATTGCACAGGTGGCACTTGTCCTCACTTCTGAACCACTGGGAGAGATTTCGGGGACAAGGGAGGGTGTCATACACTGCCCTCATGAGGAAGCTGAGCCGCGACTGCGGGGTTCGCCAGATATCTGCCCAGGTTATGACCCTGTTAGTACTATCCTCCCAGCGGGTCCATGCTCCTTGTTTGCCCTGGGAAACAGCCTTAATGAGGTAACGGTCCTGTTCCACTCGTGAGACCTCTTCCACCACCATGGACTTCCTCTGCTCCCTTGTGGCTTTGGACCAGAACTGAACTGGCTCTCCCCAGCCCAACCCTGCTCGGCTGTGTTGGACTCTTCCCATGACCTCCTTGTGTTGTAGCCTGTTAATGGCTTGATCGACCTCCTGCTGGGCCCTCCATCTGCGCCCCATTATCTTTATTAATGCCTTTATTAATATTCCTTTCACACTACTTGTCTGTTTTAGGTATCATGAAGTTGCTGTGGTTTGCACCTTACATGACGGATCGGCGCCTGGGGGTCGGATTCAAAATGTGATTCAGATTACATCTTTGATAATTCACACTATGCGATCGTCACTCATGTGAACGAGCACTGATTTGCCTCAGATTTCTGACTTTTGTCCACAACCTCCAGAAAACTGTCAGCAAGTGAAACTTGAGCCTAAAATCATGTAGTGTATATCTGGCATAAATTGAAAGACAAATACAATACAAAAAAACAATACAAAAATAAGCCAAAATGACATTTATATGTATTACAGTTTCATATATCTGAAAATGTAGTAAATATATAAACTGCAGGGTTAAAGATTGAAGAAGAAATAAAAAGTGACAATAAGGCCTCACCCTGAGCATGTTAGAGTTTAATCCATTTGAAAATGTAAACTGAATCAAGTAAAGGGTAAATAAAGAAACTGCTTGCTTAAAGTCACAGTAAAAGTAATGGAAAGGCAATAAGGCCTCACCCTGAGCAAGTTAATGTTCAATGCTGGCGGCCAGGAAGTAGAGGAAGGACATTAGCACTGTGGTAATGACTGCTCCCCCAGAGCCTTGAATAATGCCAGCCAGGATTACCTGCTGCCACTTACACACTGTCCTTGTAGCCGCCGAGTTGCAATTGGGCTGGAAAATGGCTCATCTCACATGAAGATTCCAACTGCCTCTTGCCACTCAGCTGGAATGGATTGGTTCTTCCACACAAACTGCATGAGCTTCCACAAGATCTTCGTCACTTGTGGACAGTTCTTGTACATCTTGTATGGGAGCCCGTTTGGACCTGGTGCTGAGGCTGATCTGGCCTTTTTGAGGACCTCTCTAATCTCACACAACCTGGGTGGGGAGGTGTCGAAAGGGGTCCTTGGGGGATCTGGGCGTGGCACATAACCTGGTGAGCCAAGTGGTGTCTCTTTGGCTGCATCCGTATACTGGCCCTTGATATAAAGTTCCAGATCCTCTTTAGTGATGGCCAGCTTGCCGCTCCGCTTCTCATCCAGCAGCTGACGGGCGTACTTGAAAGGGTCTTTGAAGAAGTTCTTCCTTTCCTTCTCCCTCCATTTCCTCCGCCTCCTGATCTGCTCTGCCTGGCGTAGCTTGGCCAGCCTCTGCTTAAAGTCATCCCATAACAGCTTGAGGCCTTCTTTTTCCTCTGGGGCTGCTTTCCTCCACCTCTTTCTCAGGTGACGCCTGTCTGATATGAGCAACTCGATGTGTCTCTCCCTCTGTCCTTTTTGTCTTGGGGCTATGGTTTGTTTGGTCATACACTCTCCAAACCACTCTCTGCACTCATCATATATCATGTTTCCCATCAAGGTTAGCTTACGCTCAACTGTTCCTCGCAAAAAATGCTGCAGCACTCCACTAAGGTATTCGTCAAGCCTGCACCAATCCTCTTGCATATTCGCCTTTGGCCATTTGATCTTGATGCGCCTTTCTGGATGCTTGCGTTGGATTCTTGGTTGTGTGACTTGTGAGGTGACAGTGCGCATCTCGCTCTCAAGGGTTGCCTCCATCTCTTCTCCTTCATATGCTGAGGTTGCCCTCTCAGCACTGTCAGGTCCTGCTGCGCTATGATTTGCTACCAGGCTTTGGGTCCCTTCCGTCTGACCTGCGGAAATAGTGCAGTTGTGCTGGTTGGGCGTCCTCCCACACTTCATCCTCCCTTAATGGATCCGCAGGCCTCTGAGCAAAGTCACCTTCTACCACCCACATGTACATTTCCGGAGGAACTTCTCATTGCCATTATCTGTTCCGTTCATTACCGTATGATCCGTCAAAGTAGGCCCATTTTCCACCCCGCCTCTCGGAGGGCCTTCGGGTTGTCTTTTTATATATCTGTGGAGCCAGTGGCGTTTGCTCTGATCCAAAAGCAATACTAAGCTGCCTCATTCTCACTACAGTCACAGACTGCATCAGTATTCATTTCAGCATCAGAAATGAAACCTCAAAATACTGACTTTGCACTGGCAGCGTTACACATAATCTTCATAAGTGCAGGGAAATTCAACTTGATTGATACCATTAGAGGTTAACTTAAGTGCAGGGGTGGGCAAACTTGGCCCTTCCAGGCCACTTTCCTTCAGAGTTTAGCTCCAACCCTAATCAAACACACCCGAACCAGCTAATCATTGTCTTCAAGACTACTAGAAGGCTACAGGCAGGTGAGTCATATCAGGGTTGGATCAAATCTCTGCAGGAAAGTGGCCTGGAAGGGCAAGTTTGCCCATCACTGCTTAAGTGCCATCGGTTCTGCTCAGCCCACTCTAAGCAGGGCTCAAACCAGCGACAAGGTGTTTCCAGTGTTTTGCAGTCACCTATGTTACATTATTTTTAAATGGATACAGCAGATCAAGGTGAAAAGAGGATATCGCATTAAAAGTTTCCTCATACATACAGAGAGCTTTTGAAAACAATTTATACAGAAAACTGCCAGTTGTCCACCGTTATAGTAACATTTTCAAAGAATATGGAGGAACCATGTACGCAGTATATTTCCCTCAGGGACAAAACTCCCTTTCCTCATTAATGAGCCGTGAGATCCAATTTTATGTTTTACTTCTTTAAAATAGGAGGAGCAGCTTCCTCTGAAGAAATCAGAAATATAAATCTAGCTCTGCTCCTTTACAAGCATGCTCTCATATAGAGAGATTAGATAACTGGAAATTGCCTTGTGATGTGCAAAACGTATGCAGTTTAAGAGAACTGAGAAGTTTAATCACCTTCAATTCAAAAGAGTTTTTAATTAAAGACCTGGATGAGTTTTTATTTACATCCATTTTATTTTTGAAAGACAACGAAAACTTGAATCAGTTCAGATATGTGCAATTAAAGACCAGTATTAATTTTTACAGGCATTTTTGATTTAGTCTTATAGTCTTTATCTTGAGACGAAAATGCTTAATAGTCTTAGTCACATTTTAGTCATTTGTGTCTTTCATAGTTTGTCAATGAAAAGTCATTGCATTTTTGTCAACTTTTAGTCATTACTTTTTAGTCAAACTGCAGTTACCAACATTTATTTTGGTAGCTATTTTATATGTAGTCTTCAAACAAAAATAATGATTAATTCTTCTCTCTTTAGACCAAATCAATTAAGCTTATGAGAAAAGAAATTTGAATCAAGGATTGAATTTGGAAAAACTTGAATAAATGATGACAATTTTAATTTTTGGGTGAACTATCCCTTTAACAGTAGTGAAAAGGGAGCAACTTATAAAAATTATAGTTGTTCATATATATATATGTATATATTATAATTTATAATTTTTTTAAAAGAAGCAGTATAGGGGCTCGCTGGCCCAGAGTCAGTGGGTGTTATATTGGAGTCGGCTGACAGACTCAAAGCACAACAGGGGCAGAGGTTTATCACAGCTGTCTGGCTCAGTTTCGGCTGAGGGGGCGAGCGCATTTTTCTTAGAGAATTGAGACTGCTGGGGCTCATGGCCTCGATAGCAGTAACATGGCTTGGTCTTCTCTTTATGCATGGGTTCCGGTGCTGGGCACTGTATACCGAGCGACATTTAAAACAGACATGTGTCGATAGCGCCGATGTGCATTCAGGCACTGATCCCCTGTGGGAAACCCCAATCTGTTGACAGAGGGAATCCCCAGGGTTACGCCATGTGTAGTAGTGACAACAAATGCGTCACTCACGATATGGACGAGGAACTCTGTAAGAGGAGAGTGGTCGACAGCGCTGTAAGAGCGTCAAATAAATGTTTTGGAGTAGTTCTCCTGGTGCTGAGACACTTGGCCCAGTAGGGCAAACGTGTTAGTCAGAATGAGAAATACAACATGTGGTGTCATATATAATTGGCGGGAGCGTTTGCTCTCTTCCACTGCTACAATTGGCACGACCACTTTGGATATGGGGCAGACCTGCGGTCCCCCATTGAGTGATGTTTGCACTAATGGCGCAAATCTGGGATCAGGTTCCGCAGATCCGGTGGTGATCTTTTTGCGTCTGCAGAAAACACGTGCTGCCCGCTGTTTTCTTGATTATGGACAGGAAAGCCTCACTTGGGTGGATGCTTTGTCGCTTGCATAGTCCAGAACCCTGTTGTACGCATTCCCGCTGAGGGAATTGATACAGTCCCCCCTGGACAGGGTGCGGGGTCTGTCACTGATTTTGGTGGCTTCTTGCTGGCCAGCGAATATATGGCATGCAAGCATTATGACATTGCTTTTTAAGGACACAGAGGTGTCTTTTTCCCTATGCAATGACCTGCTGTCCCAGGCAGGAGGCAGACTCTGCGCCCTCGGCTGGAACTGTGGTTTCTAGGGCCTGCCCGTTGAGAGGGAAAACTTCCAAATTTTTCTCCGTTTCGCGCATGTTAGAGCGTACGCATTTCAAGGTACTTCTTTGGCCATAAGTGCAATTAATCCTGGTCACAAAAAAAAATGTTTGTTAATGATTATTTTTCATCGTCGTCTTCGTTGGCGAAATTAACACTGTTAAAGACATCAAATCTGAATTCATTTGGTACTTCTTGAACCCTAAAGACCACAAACACAACTCCACTCAACTGTCATTATCAGACACAATCTGTTTTCTTTGCACCTTTTACTTTGAGACGTTAGATGCCCGACACGGTGATATGTGCATGATGTGTTTTGATGTATATATTTCACAGGTCATGCAGCGGGAGGGAAAGGACATCAACATCACGCAGGTCATGGACCGCTGGACCCTGCAGATGGGCTACCCTGTCGTCACCATCAGCAAGAACGACAGTCTTGACAACAGTGTCACCATCTCACAAGAGCACTTCGTCTATGACACGGACGCTAAGATCCAGAATCCTGAGCTGTTCAACAACAGGTAGACTGCCATATGTCAATTGTGACAGGTTGTTGTATAAAAATTAAATGCCATTATTCATGCACTGTTGCAGAAATCACCATAATATATGGAGCAGAGGAGTGTACGTTTGCCGAACACTGCATTACTGAATAATGTAAAAAGTCAGTTCTCCTCCCAGAATTCACTGATAGTTTCCTGTGATCAGGTCAAGCTCAGACAGAAGAAAAAAAATATCCTAGTAGCTATGCAGCTGAAAAGATGAAAAAATAAGTTAGTTAGTTTGGAGAAAATACAGAAGAATAGACTACCCTAGCGCCCCACAACAGCATGAAGACCCAAGTTATGTGAAAAGTTTACTGCTTAAAGGTCCCCTGAAATGCTTAGAAACACGCAGCGTTACTCTGTGTTGCCGTCATTTTAACTGAAACAGAAAGACAGGGAGGGACATATCAAGCAGGGCTGCTTGATATTTAAAATAGCCAATAGTGTTAGTTTATAACACAGCTTGGGCTAGAGCCGTTCAGAACTGTTGAGCTCCGTAAAGCCGCATTTGACAGGGTATGCCAGCCACAATCTCATACATATTGCTATAAAATATAGCATTCTGTGTAGAATTTAAATAGCTCCGATACATTTTGTGGTCTGTGCCGACTCGCACATGTGATCTGCTCCATGCTATCGTGTCTCTGGACCGGAGCAGAGTGTGTGTGCGGTGCGGTGGTTAGCATGGAAACCAGACTTCTTTTTTTCCTCAATGGAAAGCATATTTACACTGTTTGAATCGTTCCCTGTCCCCTATATAGTGCACTACGTGCCATTCACTGTACAGAAAATGCTAATTCTGTGGACAAGTGACCGATTTCAGCCGCGGCTTCAGCGTCTATTTTATAGTGTAGGGGGCGGGCGCTTCGGATTCTAGAGAGCATTTGATTGGACAGAAAGTTTGATGAGAAGCTGCTGAAGTACGATGTGACGTCAAATTGAGCCGTTTTGGTGGAAGTGAGGAGCTGCAAGCTTTGAATGCTTGTATCTTCTAAATGCGAATTTTGTCACTGTTTTGGAGCACACTGCCTTATAGATAACCTTAAGACTAACATATTGATACTAACACCCAAAAAACTTTAATTTTGATTTCATGGGGACTTTAAGAACCAATAAGTTCAGTTCCCGGGTTTCTGAAGCCAAACAAAAGGCTTATGGGTTTACAGCAACACGAGGATGCGTAAACTCCAGAATTGTAATTTTTGGGTGAACTTTCCCTTTAAGTTCTTTCTACAAACTCAGATTCATTTTCATCACTTATGTGGGACTGTATTTTTCTGTCTCTATTGAAGATCAAGTAGAATTTGTTTCCAGTCAAGATGGCCTGTGTAGAGTAGTGCAACTCCAAAGTCCCTCTTTACAATATCAATAACATTGATTTTTTTTTTAAGTTCATTAAAGTCACTTATACATGTTTGTTTTTCTTTCAACACAGTATTTTTCTTTTCTTTTTTCTTGTAACATTGTAATTCTTGTATTGAATCTCAAAACGAACACATTTTTGAGTTCTTCTGGTCAGATGATGATGTTCTCGCTTGTGTTGCACATTTGGATTTGTGTCGCGGGCTCAGAGTCCTGTGGTTGTTTGTTTCAGTAGTGTGTTTTATCATGTCTTTCAGAGATGTCTGCAGCTGGAGCCCTATAATGAAGTGTGTCAGTACATGAAGGGTCTCAGTCACGTGGCCATGGGCCAGTTCTACGAGGGCATTAAAGCTCAGACGAAAGTCATGCTCAACGACCCTCTCTTGGGACAGAAAGCCAGCTCCGAGTATCTCAAAGTCAAATATCTCAGAGGTGAGAAATTACACTTTTTTTTTTATTAGGTCATTAACAAACATTACATAATCACTAGTTCTTTCTGTGCCGACTCGCACATGTGATCTGCTCCATGCTATCGTGTCTCTGGACCGGAGCAGACTGTGTGTGCGGTGCGGTGGTTAGCATGGAAACCAGACTTCTTTTTTTCCTCAATGGAAAGCATATTTACACTGTTTGAATCGTTCCCTGTCCCCTATATAGTGCACTACGTGCCATTCACTGTACAGAAAATACTAATTCTGTGGACAAGTGACCGATTTCAGCCGCGGCTTCAGCGTCTATTTTATAGTGTAGGGGGAGGGCGCTTCGGATTCTAGAGAGCATTTGATTGGACAGAAAGTTTGATGAGAAGCTGAAGTACGATGTGACGTCAAAAAAAATCGTTGAGCCGTTTTGGCGGAAATGACGAACTGCAAGCTTTGAATGCTTATATCTTCTAAATGCGAATTTTGTCACTTTTGGTGCACACTGCCTTATAGACAAACTTAAAACTAACATATTGATACTAACACCTAAAAAACTTTAATTTTGATTTAATGGGGACTTTAACATATCTTTGGATGTCTGCCTTTACCTCTCCTGCTAAGATTAAACAGCTTTAACCAGCCTAAAATGGTTTGCTGGCTTTCACTGGCTATCAAGCTGCTGTTAACTGAGCATTTCATTTATTATTAGCGACCCATGCTAACCCGTCACTGCCACATGCTGTTTGGCACCCGTCTGCATCGTCACAGAAAACTGCGTGTGTCACTGCCAGATAGATTAGTTTAATTCTTCGTTAGGTGAGATGAATAATTCAATAATGCCTCTGATCCGTTTTAGAAGTCATCCTTTTGTTTTGGATCAGACACTGTTAGCAGCATAAGAATTGAGTCAAGAATTTAATTTTAATGCTGTACTGTCAGTTTGAGTGTGTGGTGTGTTGTTAGGCACATTACTAGTTACGTAACTTTTTTCTCCATTAAATTTATGAAATCCCAGCATTTATTGTTCCCGATAAATATTTGTTATTACAGCATCAACATTCAGTTATTTTTAACTAAAACAATTTTTTATTAGTTAATCTATTTTTATATTAGTTCTGTGGTGTACAAAAGACCAGGAAACAGATTTTTGGAAACTCTGTGCTCATTTGTTTACTTCAGATCTCAGCACTTGACTAACTTTCTTATCACAGAACAGAACAAGTTTCTCCAACAAACAGACCTTTTTAATCGAACACTTCTCTCTCTAGACATGCATAGTGATAACCTTACGTTCAAAAGGTAAGATGCCGGGCCAAGCCGGCAGGTAATTCTCAGAGGTGAGGACCAGAATTAGGCCAGTTTGTTTCCCCTGGGAGGCCTACGGACCCTAACCCAGTCATTTACGGCAATGTCTGGCACTTTGGCATGCTTATGTTTGTCGAACTGTATTTTCATCCGGCGCTGTTGGCAAGAGACAGAAGCTTTAACTCCTGGGGGAGGCTTCAGGGGCACAGGTGGGCAGAGCCGATCAAGAGGCAAATTGAGTTCCATGAGAAAAGCAGGGGAAACACCCGTGGTGCAATGATGAGAGGCCCTATAGTACAGCAGGGTGAGGTGAACGGCTTGATTGAAAGGACACCCTTGGGCCAGGTGTGCTCTGAGACCATTTTTAAGGGACTGATGAAACCACTCCACGCCACCGTTAGCCTGGGGGTGATAAAGGGCTGTGCAGGTGTGTTGAATACCCTTACTCTCCAGGTAGGATTTGAAGTCGCCTGAGATAAACTGAGGGCCATTGTCTGTTGTGATTATCTGTGGAAGGCCCGTGAAAACAGAGAGTCCAAAAAATCCACAATGACCTGGGATTTGACAGAACCCATAGCAGTCAATTCAGGCCATTTGGAGTGTAAGTCATAAACTACAACTAGGTAGCGCTGATTGTGAGGAACCCCGTGAATCTCACCGCAAATATCCAGCTGTAAGTGTTGCCAGGGTCGAGAGGGCAAGGCTGAGGACTGGAGGGGTGGTGGAGGTGAGTGACCTGTCTTACCACTCACGAGGCAGGCTGATCAGTCCTTGACCAGTGCATCAATCTATTCCTGGCCACCACACCTGGTCTCGGCAGCGCTGTTTGAGCTTCACTATGCCCAGGTGGCCCTCGTGCGCCATTGCTAACACGTGCGCACGAAGGGACCCTGGGACCACAGTGCAAAGCCCACGAGCGACGCAGACATCATTCCAACAGGACAGCTCATCTTTGACCAGGGAAAAAGCAGCTAGTTCTCCAGATACATTTGATGGCCAGCCACCCCGGATGTAAGTGCGGAGCTTTGAGAGGATAGGGTCCTGGTCGGAGGCTGGTTTGAGCTCCTGTAATGACACTACATCCTGCAGGGGAATGTGTAGCATCTGAATAATGTCTGTTTCAACATCACTACTACCCGTGGATATATTTTCAGCAGGAATGGAGCGAGACAAAAGGTTGGCTACCACATTGTCACGGCCTGGGGTAAATTGCAGACTGTAATTATACTGCCAAAGACGATCGTACCAGTGATGCAGTCTCAGTGGTTTGTGGCCCTTTCCCGATGTCGCGAGCAGTGTCACCAGGGCATGATGGTCTGTCCTCAGGGTGAAATGGCGACCATATAGGTACAGGTGCCATCTTTCACATACCCAGACACATGCTAGCACTTCTCGCTCCCCCACAGCCACTGGCTGTGAGTTCCTCAGCAGTCGGCAGTGGATACTTGTCAGGAATTACAGCCTTGTTTACACGCCGCAAATCCACACAGATACCTGATTTTTTTTGTAGCCACCACCAGATTTGAAACCCAGCTGTCACCCCATCATGAAGGGCCAGGGGAATGCGGCGTAGTGGTTGAATAACAGGGGTGACAGTGGGATTGAGGAGAGGTTGATGGTTGAATGTGATGAGGCAGCCCAGCCCTTCGAACAGTGTTGGCCACTGTTGCTGGCAGGTTGTAGTCACAGCCAGAATAGCAGCCCCCCCTGCAGCCCCCCCTGAGTCCACCAATGTGAGCCCCAAAGCAGCGAACAGATCTAGCCCCATCAAATTTGCTCCCTTTTTTGCTACATGAAATACAAACGAAGGGAGTGTTTTTGTCCCTTAACAAACAGTCAATTCAAGTGAGCCCTGTATTTCTATTTTGGAGTTGCCATACCCACACA